GGCTGAAACCTGACTCCACCCAGTGCACATGATTTTGCAGGGGGGAAAAAAGTGGATCATGGGATCAAGGTCAGGCTTCTGCAGACACAGCTGACAGCTGTCTGCCCATATCTCCGTACAGGCAGACAGTTACTCAGGCCACAAAAAAAAAAAAAAAAAATCACACACTTTTGCCTGCACTGAAGAGTTAGAACCAGCCCTAAAAAATATTACTGGCCTGCACACAGAATTCAAATCCATCAAAGGCTTAAATAAATAATTATATAAAGAACATATATATTCTTATATAAAGAACAATGTGAGCTACCATAAACTATTAGTGATAAATATATAAAGTATATATAGTGGAATATGAGTTGCTGCAAAAAACACTTGAAGCGTTCCCACACACAATAACAACAAAAAAAAAATATATAAATAGTGCTGCACTACTCATAACATTTAAACATCCAATAATAATACAAAAATATATAAACAGTGCCTAAGCGCAAAACAAATTTAATGAATCATCAAAGTCTTTCAGTGCTCAATCTGCCCAGAGGCCATATAATCTTATGCCTCCACTGATAGTGCTGCACACCAGAATTAATTCAGTGCCCATCCACCTGAAATAGGATGGCCGCTCACCTTAGGTTGTGGACCTATAAAGCAACATAGGTCTACCAAGCATGATCATTCCATAAACGAACTCCAGATGGCAGCAAAGAACTTGCACTGTATATTATCAGGGATGGTAATAACGATCACCCTCAGGAACCTCCTCACCACTCAGCCTCAGCATATAAGGAAGAGAGGACAGCCTCCAATCGTGTAAAACCATTTAATACACATAGATTGAGGTAGCAAAGGTTGCACTTACAATATAGCAGGATAAAAAGGGTGCCCAGTGACGCTCACCCAATAAATACAAACAGGTAACTATAGCAACTGGACCAACCATATAGCTAAACAATCCAAACATGCTGCTTCACAAATCAAAACATACATATACTGTTAAAATATAGAATATCTATACTGAAATAAAAATAAAATATACACACTGAAAAGACCAATAATATCTAAATCTAGTAATAACCCCATCTAGTGGTAAAATTGTAAACTACACCTCTAATAAGTATGTATTAATAGCTAGACCTCTAATAAGTAGGTCATACTGAAAAGATTTAATATTAAATTCATCATGACATACTATAAAGATAATTAATAAAAAAAATTATTATTACATAATTAAAATAATTTAATGGGGGCAATAAACTACATATCATTAAAAAAACAATATCACATTCAACATTATGGCCAAATGGGTATAAAGTCTGCAACTCATATATCCAGTAGGATTCACATTGACTAAGGGACCGGATTGTATTACTACCCCTCCAATGAGGATGGTATTTCTCTATTCCCCAGAAATTAAAAAAAAATAATGGATCCTTATTGTGAACTGTGGAAAAATGCCTGGATACAATATGATTTTTAAAACCTTTGGATAACTTTGGACATGTTCCTGGATTCTCTTCCAGAGAGGCCTTTTAGTTTGTCCAATATACTGAATACCACAACTACACTCCAATTCATACACTACCCCTTCTGTTTTACACGTAATAAAATCATTGATCTGATATTGCTTCCCAGTAGTTGTTGCTAAAAAATTATTATTTTTTGGTGTAGTGCCACAAAATAAAGGAAAATATAAATATAAACCAATCCAAAAAATCAAAAAAAACACAGCTGCAAACCTAACCTTAAAAAAAGTGTATATAATAGTAAACTGAACAGGTTGCGCTTAACAAATCAAAATGTGATTGGTGACAAAAATATATAATGTGAAAAAAATATATAAATAAAGTCCAAATAACAATATTATGTTGTGATGAAGAAAAAACTTATTCGTGTCCAACAAAATTCACCATGTGTAAATCCATCACCAAATAATATCTGAGGAAGAGGTTTTATTGGAGAAGTGGATCCATTTTGCCGAGTATTCCCTGCAGAGTATTGCTCCTTGAATATACGGATATTACCTACAGAGCATTGCATCCTACCGCAGAGTATTGCTCCCAGAGCAGAAAGCGCTTATGCTGATTTATAATTTGATCAGCATATTGCTCTGGTGAGTTTATTCAATTTATTTGGTGATGGATTTACACATGGTGAATTTTGTTGGACATGAATACGTTTTTTTCTTCATCACAACATAATATTGTTATTTGGACTTTATTTATTTATATTTTTTTTCACATTATATATTTTTGTCACCAATCACATTTTGATTGTTAAGCGCAACCTGTTCAGTTTACTGCTAAAAAATTAGCTCGTTTTTGAATATTCCCCTTTGTTCTTGAACAACCAAAACACCTTTTACAAGGAAAAACCCCTTTCCAGTAAAAAAAGAGAAATCACTTTTTTCTTTGGAGGATTCACCACATTCTTTGCTAAACAATCTCGGAGCTCTCCGATAAATAAACTTCGGATTAACTGGTAATATCTTCTATAAATGTTTATCACCCAAAAGTATGGACCAATGTTTTTAAATAACTTCTCAACACTTTTTTGTTGCATACCATAATCCAAAATGTTTGAGCAGTCATCTCTTTGTTTCAGTTCTTTCATTTTTATCCCTAACTAACTCTTCTCTATGTATCTGCCCCACTGCACATATTTTTTCTCGTATAAAGGACTCATCATAACCTTTTTCAATAAATCTCTGGTCTATCATCTTTGCTTGATCTTGATAATCATCCTTCTTGGTACAGTTTCTCCTCAATCGAACAAATTGTCCTTTGGAAACATTCATAAGCCAGGAAGCATGATGACAACTACTTAGGGGAATATATCCATTATGGTCTACTGTCTTGAAATACGTTTTTGTCTGTTTTATGGTTCTGTTCCACCATGATATCCAGATCCAAAAAATTCAGATACTGTAACTTCTCTCTCCCATTTTGCCATAGATAAATTGGCTATACTTGTTGAACAGGAACACATAGCAATCCCTCTTATCTGTTTATAATACATATTCTCATACCAAAAATAATTATGGGCAATATTCAAGACATTCGATCAAAAGCTTTCGTTGGGTATAAGACCAATGATGTTATAAAAAGAATTCACATCTGCTGTCAGTAACATTAATGGATAACTTCCAATTTCAATAGTATCCAATAACTGGATAAGATGTTTTGTACCTCACAGGTAAAAATGAATCTTCTGCACAATAGGCTGCAAATAACAATCCACATATTCCCCCAATCTGGCCCCTACTGATTGTATCCCATTCACTATCAGGAGGCCAGGTAGGTTATCCTTATTTTTATGTATTTTAGGGATAGTGTAAATAACAGGAATACTACATACATCCGGAACTAGGTACCTGCCTTCTTTTGTATTCAATATCCCTTTATCCAAACCTTTTTGCACCACTTTTTACAACTCTTTCTTAGACTTAATTGTCAGTTTAGATGATAATCGTCAGTAAGCATCCGTATCTTCCAATTGTTGTAATTCTGTCATGTATTTTATTTTGGCCAACACCACGATTCCTATCCCCTTATCGGCAGCTCTATATCATTATGACCCTCCAACCTTTTGAGTCCTACATCCAATTCTCTATTTTCTTTTAATTTGTTGATCACCATCTTCTGTAAATCCTGAGATACCATCTTCTTAAAAACATCTACGTGCCCGGTATGATTAACTTGTGGGTTAAACAATTACTCATTTCTCAGAGATGTATGCGGATAATTATTCATCTCAACTTTATTCACAAATAATTTCTCTTCAGGTTTCACCATCATATTTTTTTTAATATTTAATTTTCTCACATATTTTTGGAGATCAACATAAACATTAAAATGTACTAATATTCTTCTTAGGGGCAAATTTTAAACCTTTATCGAGGACCTTTACTTCTTCTTTTGTTAGTTCAACGCCACTAATATTGAAAATACCATCACCTACTGTTCTCTTTTTTCGCTTGTTTTTTCTTGCTGGCTCTGCACCCCCTCCTCCGTTGGGCCTTCCTCTCATTGGCATATCTATTTCCGGCCGTATCGGGGGATCTCCCCTAAAAAAATTCCTCATCATATCTCAAGGCCTCATATCTATTATCTGTAGGGACTGGACTTCTTTCAAAATATTTGTACCCATTGTATGGGCTCCTCTCATAATTACTATATGGGTGCCTAGGTCCTCCATTGTAATTTGGATGGGGTCTAGAATTATTCCATTGATTTCTCCAATAAGGTCTTCTCTGGAATCCATTAAAACCTTTTGGTTTCCAAGGTCTTTTAGGTGTCCTAAACGTAGAATTTCCAGCATGCTGGCTCAGTGATGACTTAATTGTAGGATCTCTATTCAGATGTTTAACCATTTCCTCTACTTGCACTTTTACCTCTTTCTCCTGAGTGGTTATCAGTTGATACAACCTGTCCTTCAATTAACGTATTCTGCCACTTAAATACATAATTGGTCCAATAGTCATTTAGATCCCTCACAAATGTTTTCTTTTTCGATTTTTAGCCTCCTGATCTTTAAATTCCAAATTCTCCACTTAGCTGGTTTGAGAGAGTTACAAACTCTGGTAATTCCTTCAATGGATCCAACTGAACTCTATAATCCGTAATCTGCTGCTCTAATTTCCTCATCTTCCTTTGTTTGCATTTAACCAAAAATGTAATTCTACTCCTTTTGCATTACAAAACTGATGCCATTGTTCCACTGAATCTTTATCAGTGAGACCATCACAGATGTGAACATCTCATCTCGTCTTGGAACCCTATTCTCTATAACAGCCTCCCGCCCGCCATATAAGGCAATGGCGGGCACAAGGTGGTTCTCGTTCGTTCATATGACGTCCTCCCATTCTAACCGCACATGCGCGGCTCCGGGAGCACGCAGTGTGGCGATCGGCAGTGCGCTGTGTCCCTCGGACACAGAGGATCACCGATCAACGGAAAGAGCAGAAGATTTCGGCTCGGTCGTGTGATCAACTGTGTCCAATCACAGCTGATCTCATGTAAATAGGAAAAATGTCGGTTATAGGCATTTCTCTCCCCACGAGCTGTCACGCTGACAGCTCAAGAGGAGAGGAGAGCCGGTAATCGGCATTCCTCGAAGGGGACATTTACACTGATCATCAGAGCACTGATGATCAGTGTGCCCTGATGATCAGTGTGGCCCCAGCAGTGCCACCTGTCAGAGTCCATCAATGCCAGCTGTCTGCTCATCAGTGCCACCTGCCAGTGCCCATCAGTGCCACATATCAGTGCCTACCAGTGCACATCAATGCCACATATCCGTGCTCATTTGAGCTGCCTTTCAGTGCCACCTATCAATGCCAGTCATTGCCACCTATCAGTGCTGCCAATCAGTGCCACCTATCAGTGCCAGTCAGTGCCGACTCTCAGTACGCATCAGTGCCGCCTAACAGTGCCACCTAACAGTGCCAGTCAGTGCCGCCTATTAGTGCCAGTCAGTACCGCCAATCAGTGCCACCTATCAGTGCCATACATGAGTGCTGCCTTTCAGTGCCCATCAGTGATGCTGGTCAATGCCACCTATCAGTGCCCTTCACTGCAGCCTCATTAGCGCATATCAGTGAAGGAGAAAAATCACTTATTTACAAAATTTTAAAACAAAAACTAAGAAAAAACTTTTTTTTCCCCAAAATTTTCAGTTGTTTTTGGTTTGTTTAGCAAAAAATAAAAACCCAGAGGTGATTAAATACCACCAAAAGAAAGCTCTGTCTCAAAAAAATGATAAAAATTTCATATGGATACAGTGTTGCATGACTGCGCAATTGTCATTCAAAGTGCAACAGTGCTGAAAGCTGAAAATTGGCCTGGGCAGGAAGGGGGTATAAGTGCCCAGTAGACTAGCGGTTAATATAGTTCTCATGAGTGGCTATATCCCACCATGTATCAATTATTTAAATTATATTATTTTATTAATTAATATTAAACCTTTTCAGTATGACCTACTTATTAGAGGTCTAGCTAATAATACACACTTATTACAGGTGTAGTTTACAATTTTGCCACTAGATGGGGTTATTACTAGATTTAAATATGATCAGTCTTTTCATTGTGTGTATTTTATTTTAGTATGGATATTATTCTATATTTTAACAGTATACAGTTGTGCTCAAAAGTTTGCATACCCTGGCAGAAATTGTGAAATTTTGGCATTGATATTGAAAATATGACTGATCATATAGAACACAAAAGGTGCAGCGCTACAGATAAATTAATGAAAAGTCCAATAATGTCCGGTATAAATGGCAAAAAATGCCTTTTATTAAAGGATGATGATCATATGAAGCCATTTATTATCAAATAGTTGTTTAGCTCCTTTTTAAATCATAATGATAACAGAAATCACCCAAATGGCCATGATCAAAAGTTTACATACCCTGGAATGTTTGGGCTTGGTACAGGCACACAAGGTGACACACATGGGTTAAATGCCAATTAGAGGTTAATGTCCCACATCTGTGGCTTTTTAAATTGCAATTAGTGTCAGTGTATAAGTAGTCAATGAGTTTGTTAGTTCTTACGTGGAAGCACTGACTAGGCTAGATACTGAGCCATGGGGATTAGAAAAGCCCAGTTACAATATGCTGACAACACCTTGACACGCCTAACCAGGCATTTTTGTGTAATTGATGCAGTAAGAGTTTCTTTCTGGCACCTCGACCATGCAGCTCATTTTTGTCATCATATTGTGCTCCTTCATAACCACCACACTGTCTTTTTTCCAGAGCAGCCTGTATTTTTCTTGTGGTTACCTATGGGTTTCCCTTTGTATCCCAAACAATTCTTCGGTCAGTTATGGCTGCAATCTTTCTTGGTCTACCTGACCTTGGCTTGGTATCAAGAGAGCCCCGAACTTTCCACTTCTTAATAGGTGATTTAATGGTACTGATTGGCATATTCAAGGCTTTGGACATCTTTTTATGTCCTTTTCCATCTTTATAAAGCTCCATTACCTTGTTACGCAGGACTTTTGACAGTTCTTTTCTGATCCCCATGGCTCAGTATCTAGCCTAGTCAGTGTTTCCACGTAAGAGCTAACAAACTCATTGACTATTTATACACTGACACTAATTGCAATTTAAAAAGCCACAGATGTGGGACATTAACCTCTAATTGGCATTTTAACCCATGTGTGTCACCTTATGTATCTGTACCAAGGCCAAACATTCCAGGGTATGGAAACTTTTGATCATGACCATTTGGGTGATTTCTGTTATTATGATTTAAAAAGGAGCTAAACAACTATTTGATAATAAATGGCTTCATATGATCATCATCCTTTAATAAAAGAGCATTTTCTGGCATGATCAGTCATATTTTCAATATCAATGCCAAAATTTCACAATTTCTGCCAGGGTATGCAAACGTTTGAGCACAACTGTATGTATGTTTATGGGTGTTTTGATTTGTGAAGCAGCATGTTTGGATTGTTTAGCTATATGGCCAATCCGGTTGCTATAGTTATCTGTTTTTATATATTGGGTTAGCATCACTGGGTGGCCTATCCCTGACGAAGCCACATTGGTTGGTGGTGTAACATGTGGGGTGGAGCTTAGTGATGACACTTCCGGTCACGGACTTGTGGACCGCAAGTTTGGAGATTTCATGCTGATATGCATTTTGTATCCTGCTATATTGTAAGCGCAACCTTTGCTACCTTAATCTATGTGTATTACACGATTGGAGGCTGTCCTCTCTTCCTTATATGCTGAGGCTGAGTGGTGAGGAGGTTCCTGAGGGTGATCGTTATTACCATCCCTGATAATATACAGTGCAAGTTCTTTGCTGCCATCTGGAGTTCGTTTATGGAATGATCATGCTTGCTAGACCTATGTTGCTTTATAGGTCCACAACCTAAGGTGAGCGGCCATCCTATTTCAGGTGGATGGGCACTGAATTAATTCTGGTGTGCAGCACTATCAGTGGAGGCATAAGATTATATGGCCTCTGGGCAGATTGAGCACTGAAAGACTTTTTGATGATTCATTATATTTTTATTGCACTTGGACACTGTTTATTTATATATTTTTGTATTATTATTGCGTATTTAAATGTTATGAGTAGCGCAACACTATTATATTTTTATTTTTATCACGTTAACCACTTGCCCTCCTGAGGATTTACCCCCCTTCCTGACCAGGCCATCTTTTGCGTTATGGAGCTGTGTCACGTTAACTGACAATTGCGCGGTCATGCAATGCTGCACCCAAATGAAATTTACATCCTTTTTTTCCTACAAATTGAGCTTTCTTTTGATGGTATTTGATTGCCTGTGTATTTTTTATTTTTTGTGCTATAAAAAAAAATAAAAAGACTTACAATTTTGAGAAAAAAACACTATTTTTGACTTTTTGCTGTTAAACATGTCCACTAAAGAAATTTTAAAAATCAAATTTCGTCATAAATTTAGGCCAAAATGTATTCTGCTACATATCTTTGCTAAAAAAAAAAATCTCAATACATGAAAATTAATTGGTTTACGTGAAAGTTATAGTGTTTACAAATTGCGGTATATATACTGGGAAGTTTTTTTTTTTCTTCTTTTTTTTACATTTTTACTAGTAATGGCGGCGATCAGCACCTTATAGCGGGACTGTGGCAGGCATTCTGACAGTGGGAGGAACGGACATCCCCAATGACACCAATACAGTGATCAGTGCAAAAAAAAAAAAAAAAAAGCACTGACACGGTACCAATGGCACTGGGCAGGAAGGGGTTAACATGAGGGGCGATCAAAGGGTTAACTATGTGCTGTTTCACTATGTGTTGTGTCCGTGTGCTACACTGCTTTGCATGGCTATCCAAAGCAATGTGCATGAGCTGACAGGGAGGAGAACTGTTTTATTTACAAACAGTTCCCCTCCCTGTCGGAGATGCTCGGCAATCACCGGGCGCTGGTGATTGACAGCCGCGGCTGTGAATGGCGGCACGGGTAGGGCGTGCGCGCCCCCTACCCAGCACTGCAAAATCGCGTACAGTGTATATATGTGATTTTGCGCACCCGTGCCACCCTGTAGTAGTATTTCTGCTATAAGGCGGTCGGGAAGTGGTTAGAGACAACTCTCTGTTTTTCTTTCTGCCCCTTTCTTTTTTTTCCCCCTTTTCTTCTTCTGAACTTCTTTGTTTCCCCTACCCTCTTAGTCTCCTGTTAGCATGTCTAATATGTGATCTCAAACGGGCTAATCCTTATAGCTCTATACTGCCATTTAGAACCTATGTCAGTACAACTGAATCACAGTTGTTTTGTCCTTTATTTGGATTGAATATTACTTCTATTGCTGTTTTTTTTTACTTTTTGTACTTTTGGAGTACCTAGCTACTATAAGCCCAGTTATGGGTCCTAATTTTATTCAGGTTAGGTATGCACACGACTTCGGGCGTACAAGGTCAGCCGGACCGTGTTTTGTTTCTAGATCGGCAGCTGAAGTCGACTGCTAATTTTTTATTTAATATTTTTTATCCGTCATATGGCATCTTTGGTTGCAGTGGTTATACCGGGATGATGCCTGCAAGCACAGGCATCATCCTGGTAATAATATTTTTCAGCTGGTGATTAGTTTTTCTTCAAAAGTGATTTGAGTGACTGAACAGCCACTTGATCACTTCTGTGGGTGGTGGAAGCAGGTCCCCCCCGTCTCCCCCACCACAAAACAGAGAGGAAATGACAATGTTCCTCCCTCTCTGTGACCCCAGGAACCGGAGCAGATGAGATTTTGTCACTTCTGCTTCTGTCTCTGTATCTAATTGGCTGCACTGGAGGCCAAAGGAGAGATTTGGGGTCTAATAGACCCCAAATCTCTCCATAAAGAGGACCTGTCATGGCAACATCCCCTGTGAAAGCAATAAAGGTAAAATAAACAAAAACAATTTAAAGAAATAGTGTAAAAAAAAAAATAAAATTAAAAAATTAAAATGCGCAACCCCAAGCTCGGCACTTGCCAAGCTATGTTTATCCTTTGTACATGTACCTCCGGTCTGGCCGTTTATGAGCAGCTGAACCTTTGTTAGTAAGTTCTTTTTTGATTGCTTATCGACTTTAATAAACGTTATCACACTATTTGAGGCCTTTTTCCACGGGCTCTTTATTTCTGGGGAGCCTGTAATCCTGAAGGTCCTGGGGCTGTGCCTAGCAAGAACACATCTGCAAGTGACATCCCTGGATCCATGATATAGCTCCTCCTGGAACGGATGACATCTAGTGGTCGCCCTATAGATGACACCCACCTGATCCATTAATACAGTGGCTGGACTTAGCTTCCATCCGGATAGATGACATCTAGTGGTCACCCTATAGATGACATCTCCTGGCTCCAGTGATACAGTGGCTGAGTACCAGGGGCAGGTCTTAAATGTCCCATGCGCTTTAACATGCGCTATCTGGTTAG